GAGAATTCTTTTTTGGGTGATAAATAATTAAACTGTTGTATTGATTAAACAATTCTTAAATTTAATAGAAATCATTTGAGTAACACACTTCAAAATGGTGAAGGTTTTGCTATGTGTAAACTATCTTTTCCATAAGCGTAGTTTTAAAAAAAGTAAAAACAGAAGAAAAGTTATCACGGTAAAAGCAGACTAAAAAGTGATGTTTATGTGCATGTTATTCACTTAACACATGAATTAAAACATGCCTAAATTGGATTTAATTTCACTACGAATAGTAAAAACTATAAAGAGTTACAAAGTTTGTCAAGGTCAATCCACTGAGTATCAGGAAAAGGGATTAAAAGGAAGAGAAATTGACTTCTGAGAAACACAATCCCAGTTACCACACAGGGATATCTGCTCAGGAAGCAGATTTAAACAAGCGATTTTGAGATGTGCAGAGATGATGGGGGGTAAAAGTATATACTGACAGTTCATATAAGCAGGACTGTTACAAGGTGAATAACTTTTAAGTTAATGTCATGCCTACATTGTAGGTACAAACAGAATATAAAGATAAGCTTTTATCTTATAAGATAAAATCTTATAATTTTATACTTTATAAAATTATATCTTATATAAAATTGTATCTTATAATTTTATAATTTACATATTTTAAATTATTTGATTCCTAGAGACTATGAGTTTTACTTTTTATTATAGAATTGATTGCTTTCCCAAGCCTTCCTTAAAACAGTTCATTTTAATATATGTGTGTGAGAAAGAAGTGATGTGATTTATCAGTTCAAAGAGTCAGACTTTACAAGAGTGAAAAATGAGAGCTTCTTTATCAGTGGGTTTACAACTAAGAATATACCACTTTTCAGACTTTTAATTGCTTCTAACTCCATGAAAGATTGTGGGCTGAGGTGGCAGTCTGTGTGTGTGTGTGTGTGTATGTGTGTGTGTATGTGTGTGCGCACGTGCACACACGCGCACACCTTAACAGGACAGCACTAAAAACAAGGAGAAAAAAAGAAAGCTCCACTGGAGCCAGCATTTTGGTCAAACTCTTTCCTCCCAGACTAGAGTGAGGAGATAGTTTGGGAAGATGAAGATTTTGGCTCTATATTCTGGCTTTTCTTGCAGTTACCAGAACATTAGAAACAGAACAAAAATAAAAAATTCATGAACCAAACAGACTCAAAGCTAAATATACCTTGATATTATCTGCCTTGGTGCTCCCTGTTCGCTAGCGAGATAACAATTATGTTTACCCTATTACAGAAAAGTATTTCCTTTACTTATAAGCAGAAAAAGCATTTATTTTAACACTAAATACTGGTTTATCATAGTTGTCTCCACAGACTGAAGTCTCATTGGATGAAAGTCTTTCATTTTTCATTCTGAGTGGTGAAGAAGGTTCAGCTTTGGGCAAGTCTTCAGAGCAGGTTGGATTTATTCTCTTCCCTCCCACCATCTCACTCTCAGGAAAAAGTGATTCCTTATTAAAAGCGCAGAATGAAATACTTGGATGGGAGATGAAGTTTTATTATCATGCCTCTTCTTTTTGAATTGAGAAGCCGTTCATAATAATAAAACCTAGCATTTATTGAGTGCGCTCTGAATCCTCAGTGATTACTAAGTTTTTAACGCGGATTGTAGCATTCAATCCTCCTCTTAACTCTGAGGCAGGCCTTATGCTTATCTTTACAGGTGACAAAAATCAGGCAAAGAGAGTTAAGCCTTGATAGAGCTGGAAAGTCTAGGCTGTCAGCTCAAAAGCTAATCCAATCCCAAGGCCTCTTCTAGTCAGTCTCTCTCAGTCCCCCTCAGACTGTGTAGTCTCCCTGTTTCTCTGGGGTTGCCCTTTCCTCCAGTCCTACTTAGCCTCACTGGTCTTTCCCATCTCCTCTTGACTTGTCTCCCTATCTGCTGTTGTTCCTGGACACTTTCTTCTATCCCTCTGTACCTTCCAGTCTCCCCACAGTCTTCTTGAGCCCCCTGCTACCCAGTACCTCCTATTCCCAGTAGTTCTACATAATGTCTCTTGCCACCTCTTGGGCCCTCCAGATCCCTCAGGTCCCCTGTCAAGTGCCTCTGGGACCCCCATTTGCCTTTCTACTTCCACCTCCCAGTCCCTTCCAGTCACCTTTGCATTCTGCTCCAGTTCTTTCATTCTAATTTTGTTATTGTTGTTTTTCGCACAATTAAAAAAAAACTCTTTTAAAATTTTGAACAAGTAAAACATACACAGTATAAAAACGTAATGCAGAAAGCCACAAGGAAGAAAATAAAAATCACCTGAAATCCCACTAACCTAAGATAGTCACTATTATCATTTTTTTCATACTTTTCTCTATGCTTAGCCCTGTACATGCACACACACAGTTTTTATTACTATTATACTTTAAGTTCTGGGATACTTGTGGTGAACATGCAGGTTTGTTACATCGGTATACACATGCCATGGTGATTTGCTTGCACCCATCAACCCATCATCTACATTAGGTATTCTTCTAATGCTATCCCTCCCCTAATCCCCCACCCCCTGACAGGCCCCAGTGTGTGATATTGCCCTCCCTGTGTCCATGTGTTCTCATTGTTCAGCTCCCACTTATGAGTGAGAACATGCAATGTTTGGTTTTCTTTTCCTGTGTTAGTTTCCTGAGAATGATGGTTTCCAGCTTCATCCAGGTCCCTGCAAAGGACATGAACTCCTCCTTTTTTATGTCTCCATAGTATTCCATGGTGTATATGTGCCACGTTTTTTTTTCATTCGGTCTATCATTGATGGGTATTTGGGTTGTCCAAGTCTTTGCTATTGTGAACAGTGCTGCAGTAAACATAAACGTGTGCATGTGTCTTTATAGCAGAATGATTTGTAATCCTTTGGGTATATACCCAGTAATGAGATTGCTTGGTCAATAATGGTATTTCTGGTTCTAGAATCTTGGGGAATTGCCACACTGTCTTCCACAATGGTGGAAGACACTCCCACCAACAGTGTGAAAGCATTCTTATTTCTCCCTATCCTCTCCAGCATCTGTTGTTTCCTGACTTTTTAATGATCACCATTCTAACTGGTGTGAGATGGTATCTCATTGTGGGTTTAATTTGCATTTCTCTAATGACCAGTGATGGTGAGCTTTTTTTTCATATGTTTGCGCTGGCTGCATAATGTCTTCCTTTTGAGAAGTGTCTGTTCATATTCCTTTTGGCCCACTTTTTGATGTTGTTTTTGTCCCTTTTAAATTTCTTAACGTTACTTTGTAAGAATTCTGAATATCAGCCCTGCTTGTCAGAGGATACGATTGCGCAAAAATTTTCTTCCGCATGTATGTAGGGTTGCCTGTTCACTCCCTGGGTGATAGTTTCTTTGTGCCTGTGGGCGGAAGCTCTTTAGTTTAATTAGATCGCCATATTTGTCCACTTTTGGTTTTTGTTGCCATTTAACTTTTGGTGTTTTCAGTTATAAAATCCTTTTGGCCCTGCTGTGTCTGAATATATTGCCTAGGTTTTCTTTTGTAGGGCCTTTTATGTTTACGATCTTATCTTTAAGGTCTTAAGCATGCTTGAGTTCACATTTTGTA